AGCCGCGCAAAGCCGGGAAGCCGCGCAGATCGGAGAAGCGCGGGCTGAAGCGGCTCAGCCGGGAAGCCGCCGAGAAGCAGCCTCGGGGCGGGCGCAGCCGGGAAGCCGCGGGGATAAGAATGAGAGCGGGAAGCCGCAGGGATAAGAGAAACAGAAGTTTAGAAGTAAAGTGAGAAAAATAGGAATGCTGGAAGATAGAAGTAAAATGGGAGAAATAGGAATGCCCGGAGATAGAGAAATAGAGAAATAAAAAGGCCTCCCTACAACACTGCAATGTGAGAGCTTGGATTCGGTCTGCCTAATCAAGTGAGGCGATGAGCACCTGCGGGCAGCTAGCAGCTTATGCGCCGCAGGTCACCGAAGACAGGCACGAATTAACATCAGTAAGGCTTCCCCACAATGTAACAATTAGGAGGCTTGGATTCGGTCTGCCTGATTTAAGGCGGTAAGCGCCAGCAAGCAGCTCGACCAGAGTATGAGCTGCAGGTCACCGAAGATAGGCACGAACCAACACTAATAAGTCTCCCCCACAATAAGGCAATGAGAAGGCTTGGATTCGGTTTGCCTGATAGGGCTTGTAAGTCCCCTGCAGGCAGAGCAGAGCATGCGCTGCAGGGCACCGAACACAGGCACGCATCAGCGCCTAAAAACCTCCTCACAACATGGCGAAGAGAGGACCCGGATTCGGTTTTCCTGATTGATAGGACTTGTAAGAGCCTGTGGCAACTCTAGCAAGTAGAGCAGAGTGTGTGCCGCGGGACACCGAAGACAGGCGCGTATCAACGCCAAAAATAAAAAGAAAGGGGGATCTGTGGGGAGCAATCCGGACTAGACTAAGTTACTCGAATTAAGACTTATTCTATGCATCTGCTCTCCCACAAAATGGCGCTGGGAGAGAAGTAAACAGCTTCCGCACAGCTGCCTCCAGTTCAACTAATAAACTGTAGGACTTGCTCCTGATTGGAGAGCAGCGTACTCGGCGTGTGGGCAGCCGAGTTGGGATTGGCGGAGGAGGACTATAAAGGAGGAGAGAGACGGCATGCACCAGGAACATCTATGGGGAACATCTAAGGGAACCCGTGCAGCCCCCGAAGAAAGCCGGCCGGCGGTGTGCCGCTCCCCTGCGGAAGTGGGGAATGTGGCCAGGGGGAACTGCCCTTCCACGGAGGTGGAAGGGATAGTAGCCAACCCGGGAAGAACCAGCAGCAAACCCGGGGAAGGCCGAGCAGACAGAAAGAACAGCGCAGGGTTCAGTGTTGCTCCTCCACGAAGAGGGGGAGCGACAGGTCCTGGGCTCTGTGACCAAGCCCTCAGCAGCCCTGAGTCTCATCATTCCTAAAACTGAGTGTGAGAAAACCTCACAGGCCTGTCATGACTCTTCTTGAACATGAAAATGCCCAGTTCAGTGCCTGGCACATGCAGGTAGAGGGTAAAGTTGTTTTCTTCCCTCCCTCCCTCCCTCCCTCCCTCCCTCCCTGTAGGAGCAAGGCAGTCTGGCTCCCTTCAGGAGCAGGTGTGCACCTGCTGTGTACTCTTCTGCAGCTTCCCAAAGCAGCTGCTCTCCCAGACAACTGCTTGCCACCGCCCACACTCAGCTTTACCCCAAAGCACAAGACCTCCTGGCTTTAGGGAAGCACAAATAGCAAGGCGAGCACTGGCAGCAGGTTGCTCTTCCAGAGGATGGAGTTCCACTCCACATGCCACACTCAGGAACTGTGTGTACGGTACTGAGAAGCAGCAGCCCCATTCTCCGGGCACGAATGAACAGCAGACACATTGACTCTTTTGCTTTAGGGGACACAGCAAATCAGACTGAGATTTAGTTGTATTTGCACAGTGCTTTACCTCTGCAATGCTGAGAGCTTAAACCAAGGCTGCCTGTGCTGTTATTCCTCAAAGGCAGCGTGCAGCTCTGTAAGCCAGTTCCTGCCACCCTGGTCCCAGTGGTTGAGTTTGTCAGCATTCTCAGTGGAAAAGAGACAAGGAGAGGCCACTCCCCCGAAGTGAATGCTTCAGTGTCACCCTTTGCTTATACCTCCAAGTCAGTGTCCCCACCCCTGCCCTGCAGATCTCAGCTAAGGGGGAGAATGAAAAAGCAAAAGGTCTGTGTCCCCGGCTTATGAAATTTGAGTGCCACCTGAACCTGACAGGGTATTTGTTTTGGGCTCCAAATTGCACAATTTTTCAGGATCAAGAAGTTCTGTAAAACCTATTCCAACATTATGCAATGTCCCTGTACTCAGGAATTATATTTGGGGCCAGTGGAGGCTTAACTGGATCCTCTCAGTCCTAAGAAGGTCCCATTTAGAGACCTTTCTGTTTCCTGAAGGAGAAGCTCAGAAGTGCACAATGTAAATTTTGCATTAAGTTAGGTGCAAGTTCCGCGTGTATGCCTTACCTGTGTGAAGCAGGTGCAGAGAGGCTAAAGACCCAGTTGTATTGCTCTTCCTCTCCTTGAAAAGACCCACAAATTGCCCCAGGCTTGTGGACTCTACAGAGACACTTGTAACACATGCCACTCCATTCCCCTGCTCACCCCACTCAGGGAGTCAGACCACAGTGCAACCTGCGTAGGTAATGGGCTTTATCTCTAAACAGCTTTGCTGTTGCATTAAGCTTTCATCAGACTGTTATTAAGTACCTACTGTATGCTAGGCACAATACAGGGCACTGGGGATAAAAGATAAGACAATTCCTGTCTTGTTGATAGAAGCTGCTGATAGTTTATGATCAAAGACTCCTCGCTCCACACATAGCACATTGTTTTTACATCTCGGTGAATCCATCATTTGTCCACCAGCTCTGTACCCCACATCAAGTCTGAGACTTTAATGTTCCTGCAGATGCCAGATGGGGCATGAAGAAAAAGAGAAAGCACTAACAAGAGACAGGATAAACCTCCAACCAAAGCATGACTCTCAGATGGCCTTTGGGTGAAAATTGGCCTTTGCCCTTTAAGCAGTTTCCCTCAGCCCTGAGTATCTCAGCAAAATGGATGATCGATCCCCAATAGAAACTCAATTATCAATTAATCGATTACTACTCAGTTGCTGGGACATGTCAGTTATCTGCTGCTCCTTGAAGTAATCTGTAGTACTTTAGTGAAGAAAAGATTCTGATTAAATCATGTAATTGCACTCATCTATATATCAAAATAAATGTCTAAAACATTTTAATTAGAAGAGTCAAATTTAGTATCTTGGACTCAGTTTATCAATTTATTACACTTGAAATAGTTGCTGATATATGAGATCAAGCACTTTAGATGGTTTTTAGTTAGAAATTGAAGAACTTTGCACGCCAGGTGACAGATTTTGACCTTACAGAATAAAGTAATTATAGAGGGAAAGCTGAGTTTATATTTGTTCTTAAACAGCAACGTGGTTCAAAATGTAATATATTCTTTTGGTATTTACAATTGGTATATATATATTTGGTATACAAAATGTAATACACCAAATAATAGGAAAAAAATAACAATTTCTAACATCCCAGTCATTTTTCTGGACTTCCAGTGACATACCAAGATGTGAAGAATGAACTTTTTCTTTCAGATTAGACTTCATTTTCCTTAATATATTCCCCCACACCCATTTTCAGATTCAGATTCATTAGTTTAATAAATTTTTTTGTTTATTTATTTGAAAGGCAGATTGGCAGAGGGAGAAAGAGATCAATCTTCCATCCCCTGGTTCACTTTCCAAATGGACTGAATGACAGGGGCTGGTCCAGGCCGAAACCAAGAGCCCTGAGCTCCATTCTGGTCTCCCACATGGGTGGAAGGGGTGCAAGCACTTGGGCCATCCTCTGCTGCCTTCCCAGGTGCATTAGAAGGAAGCAGGATGAGAAGTGGAACAACAAAGGTTCAAACAAGTGCTCCAGTATGGGCCGCCAGCCTTGCAGGTGGCAGCTTAGCTCACTGTGCCACAACACTGGCCCCCTCATAAACCCTTAACTGCCCTTATTCCTGAGGACAGGGGAAGTATCTTTAATAATACTTGTTGAGGGACCGGTGCTGTGGCACAGCGGTTAACACCCTGCCTAAAGAACTGGCATCCCATATGGGTGCCAGTTCGAGTCCCAGATGCTCTGCTTCCAATCCAGCTCTCTGCTATGGCCTGGGAAAGCAGTAGAAGATGGCCAAAGTCATTGGGCCCCTGCACCCACATGGGAGACCCGGAATAGGCTCCTGGCTCCTGACTGCGGATCGGCGCAGCTCCGGCTGTTGCAGCCAACTGGGGAGTAAACCATTGGATGCAAGACCTGTCTCCTCTCCCTCCCTCCTCCCTCCCTCTCTCTCTCTCTCTCTGTCTCTCTCTGTCTCTGTGTGTGTGTGTGTGTGTGTGTGTAACGCTGACTTTCAAATAAATAAATAAGATACCTCCACTCTCATCACCCATCTTCTAACCATAACTGATCCACTTACCTGTTCATTCATTCAGTTCATACTTATCAAATAGCTACTATGTGTGCTGCTTAATCTACTGTTAATGTGGTGGTGACCAAGGAGGGTAAAAGAAGATAATCATTTGGGAGAAGTCTCAGACCATATTGTCACAGAAACTAGTATTATGTTCCAGCTGTTATGCTATGCTATGAGACACAGGTTAAAGGTGTCATGAGAATCTGTACTAGAAGCATTTCACTGTAATATTGGGATCAGGGCAGGTGTCCTGAGAAAATGGAAATGTGCTGAGGTATGAAGGACATGGCAAGGTGCGTGGAGGTGGAAGGAGCATTGGCAGCACAGGGAACAGCACATGCAAAGGCCCTTCATGGAAGACAGGTGGGCTGTTCGGAGAACTGAAAGAAGTCCCATTCACTGGAGTACAAAAGGTACAGGTCTGGAAAAGGTGGCCAGCGTCCAGGGGATGTGAAGCCCTGCAGGCCACGTTGAAGATGCTGCCCTTTATCTGAAGAGCCATGGGGAGCATTAAGTGTGTTAGACAGAGACATGATCAGATTTGTATTTTTAATGTGGAGAACAGAACCTGGCAAATATGACTGTGGATATGGTGGGGGCATTACCCAAGAAGAGACAGGATGGCCAGGATGAAGATTGTGGTAATGGAGATAAAGACATTGAGATGTTTAGGAAGTGAGGCTGGGGCTAGTGCCGCAGCACACTAGGCTAATCCTCTGCCTGTGGCGCTGGCACACCGGGTTCTAGTCCCAGTTGGGTGCCGGAATCTGTCTCGGTTGCTCCTCTTTCAGTCCAGCTCTCTGCTGTGGCCCAGGAGTACAGTGGAGGATGGCCCAAGTGCTTGGGCCCTGCACCCGCATGGGAGACCAGGAAGAAACACTTGGCTCCTGCCTTCGGATCGGCACAGCACCAGCCGTATCAGCCATTTGGGGGGTGAACCAATGGAAGAAAGACCTTTCTCTCTGTCTCTCTCTCTCTCTCACTGTCTAACTCTGCCTGTCAAAAAAAAAAAAAGAAGAAGAAGAAGAAGTGAGGCTGGTAAGAATTGATGATGGCCTGTGCTTGGGGACTGAGGAGAAGGGAGGATTCAGGGGTGACACTTAGATTTCTACTTGAGCACCTTGAGGAGAGGCGGAGCTGTTCAGTGGTGCCTGGTATCGTGGGCAGACAGGGGAAGTTTGTGGTTTCTGCTTTGGTCGGGTGGAGCCTGAGGTCTCTTGACCTGTGAGTGGAGACACAAATGTGAGGCCGCCTGGGGAGAGTACCGAGTGTGAGTGCAGCAGCCTTGAGCAGCCGCAACCCTGACAGCCAGGCTTGGATGGCCCTGGCAATGGAGACATAAATGCTGTGGTCTGAGAGGAGGAAGGAAAACCACAGAATGGAGTGTCGGGTGAAGGGAGGGCTGCACAGCACTTAACAGTCCCCTGTTACTGAACAGAATTTTTTAAAAGCCTTCCATTTGAGGTTGAACCTAAAGGGTGGCTACCAGATTGAGTGATAATTGCCTTTTGGTCAGCTGGATCCTAAAGTGGTTTTCTGGATGTGCTGGGTTCTACTTAAATAGATTAGTGGAGTAGTTTATTTAATCTTTATAGCCACCCTATAATCTAGGTGCTGTTTTACAATTCCACCTATTTTACAGATGAGAGATAAATCGCAGGTGGCATAAAGTTCCAAATGCAGAAAGAGGGCAGAAATTACATAAAACTGAGCATTGGAACCAGGATTTGATGCTGCCCCTGGGTCTGTGGGCTATGCTTACCCATCAGTTATCTGTTAAACACCATTCCACATAGCCCCTCTGTACGTGTATGCACAAAGGCATGTACTTTAAAATACAAAGTCAGAGCAGGCGTTTAGCCTGGCAGATAAGACACCCATGTCTCGTATCAGAGTGCCTCGGTTCAAATCCCAGCTCTGGCTCCTGACTCCAGCTTTCTGTCAGTGCAGATCCTTGGCAGCAGCAGATGATGGCTCAAGTAACTGGGTTCCTGCCACCCACACTGGAGACCAAGATTGGGCTCCTGCCTCCTGGCTTCATCCCAGCCCAGTTCTGGTCATTGTGGGCATTTGGGGCATGAATTAGTGGATGGAAGCATTTTCTCTTCCTGTCTTTCCCTCCTCTTATCTTCTTCTCCCTTACCTTCTCCCTCTTTCCTTCTCCTGTTCTCTCTGTCCCTCCTTCTCCTCCCTCTCCCTCTAAAATTAAAATTTTAAAAATATAATATCAGGTACTTTTGCCACCTTTATTTCAAGGTTTAAGACATTTAAACTTTTATTTTTGTTGTAATGGCATCAGCTAAGTTTATGCATTCATTTGTTTTTTTATTTAACAGAGAAGGAAATACCAAGACAGAAAGATCTCGCATCCCCTAGCTCATTCTCCAAATGCCAGCAACAGCTGGGGCTGGCTCAGGCCAAAGCCAGACGTCAGGAACTCAATTCAGGTCTCCTCATGGGTGGTGGGGAACCAAGTACTTAAGTCTTCACTGGCTACCTCCCAGGGTATGTATTAACAGGAAGCTAGTATCAGGAACAAAGCTGGGACTTGAATTCAGGCACTCAGATATGGGATGTAGGTGTCTTAACTGGCATCGTGACCACTAGGTCAAACACTACCCTATGTATTTATGTATTGAACCATGGTGCAAATGAGGATAGCAGGGGGCAGCGTTGTGGCACAGCAGGTTGAGCTACCTCCTGCAATGCCAGCATTCCTTATGAGTACCAGTTTGTATCTGGGATGCTCCACTTCCAAACCATCTGCCTGCTAATGTGCCTGGGAAGGCACTAGAGGATGGTACAAGAACTTGGGCCCTTGCACCCACGTGGGAGACCCAGATGGAGTTGTGAGTTCCTGGCTTCAACCTGGTCCAGCCCTGACTATTGTGATCACTTGCAGGGTGAACCGGCGAGTGGAAGATCTCTGCCTCATGCACACACACTGTCTCTTCTCTTTCTCTGTAACTCTGCCTTTCAAATAAATAAAAATCAGTCTTTTAAAAAAACATGATAGCGGCCGGCGCCGCGGCTCACTAGGCTAATCCTCCGCCTAGCGGCGCCGGCACACCGGGTTCTAGTCCCGGTCGGGGCGCCGGATTCTGTCCCGGTTGCCCCTCTTCCAGGCCAGCCCTCTGCTGTGGCCCGGGAGTGCAGTGGAGGATGGCCCAGGTGCTTGGGCCCTGCACCCCATGGGAGACCAGGAAAAGCACCTGGCTCCTGGCTCCTGCCATCGGATCAGCGCGGTGCGCCGGCCACATCGCGCTGGCCGCGGCGGCCATTGGAGGGTGAACCAACGGCAAAGGAAGACCTTTCTCTCTGTCTCTCTCTCTCTCACTGTCCACTCTTCCTGTCAAAAAAAAAAAAAAAAAAAAAAAAAAAAAAAAAAAAAAAACATGATAGCAAGGTCTGCCCCATTCTAGAGTCTGTGTATGTGTACACAGCAGTGCCTGGTGAAACTGGAGCCTTTGCAGCCTCTAGAAATGTAGACGCCTATTTGGGGCTATTTGTCTCTGCACGGTTGTCCTTGCCATTCCACTGTGAGCTCTGAAAGGACACACTGGAAAGTTTCTGACCAGCTTGTTTGCATCTGGACTTACATTAACTGTATGACCATATTTTATTCCAGACACTTTGAGGAATTCGTCAGACTGTGAGGCACGCAGCGATGAATACCGTACAGAGCTGACCACCGCGCTGCAGCGTGTGGACTTATTCATGGGCCAGTTCAACCAAGTCCTCTTAACATCCATCTCCACCTTCATTAAAGGCGACCTCACCATTGCTAACCTCGGGACCTCAGAGGGTCGTTTCATGCAGGTGGGTGCTTTCTAAGCATGGCTGTCTGTTCTGTCTGGTAGTATGCAATCCATGTTTGTTTCTGCAGTAAGTTATTGAATCATTGTAGAGGCTAGAGACACACATGGAAAGCCAAACAGTGGTACCTAGTCCACTTTTTACAAAGTGTACAGCCTATTTGTGTTAAGTTCTTGGAGCTTTCAAAAGTTTGGACGTGGCTGCTTTAATTTTCTTGTTCAGAAAGGTTTAGATTTTTTTTTTCCATTCATAAATTCTGTCACATGTTTGGAAAGTAAAAATGAAACAATTACAGTATTTCCAGGCCATGTTTTCCTATCTCAAGGGAAGCTACGGATCAAAGGGGAGCTATTGTGTGAACCGTGCGTCTCCGTGAGAAGAAACATTCACATCATTGAGAAATATTGGCAGCAGTCAGGAAGGGAGTCTGTCATCAAACCCCCATTGTAATTCAGGCTCTTCTGATTCTACAGAACAGTGGGCTCACTCACAAATAAGTTCTCTACTTTAAAAAAAAATCTGGATTTTATTAAGAAATGTTTTTAATTGGCAGCAACAATATTTCCATACAATAAAACTTCACATTTCTAACTTGATGGAAATTACCATGTTTACTTGATAGAGGAATCAAAGCACTTTGCAGAAATTAAAATTAGATTTTAGTGTTAGGTTTATTTTACTGCTTTAATAGTTATCTGTCCTTTCAACATGAGTTCATTAATAGATTCTTGATTAACACAGAATGTCAATGATATCTACAGAAATACTGAATTTCTGTGAGTGCTTGAAACTTTGTTTACAAGGAGATGCTTGTACTTAGAGTTGTCTGATAGGTTGGTGTGCTGATCAGACAGAGAGTTGTGGTACACCCAGTAAGGATGACAGGGTTTTCCCAGGCCTTGCCCATCTATCATCCTGTATCTCTATTCTTTTGCAAAACACATTTTTAAAAATTACCAATATCTTCAAAGCAGTCTGGATACCAGTCATTTCCATATTGTAAGAACCATAAATCATGTTTCTTTTGTACTAGTGGCTTGGTAGAATTTTTTCAAAGTTGTAAATACAGTCTTCCTAACTAATCATCTAGATCCTGTGACCTAAGTTTTCCCACACTGGTCACCCTTCCTCCTCTGCTTCACAACTTACTAGGTCTGTTCTCCCCCTCCTTCCTGTCCCCCATCCCAGAACTGCTGTACACACCTCATCCATATTGACAGTTTAGCTGTATTCTTACCTTCTCAAAGTTGAAAGAAGGATGTCCAGTCCCTTGCCACGTGGACATGCACTGTGGCTATATCTATTATCCCTGGAAAATGCGTAGTGTTATTTTGTGTTTATATGTGTTATTAATTTACATTAATAGTACTCTGTAAAATTCCATAGATCTTGGAGGAGGATGAGAGAGGATAGCATCTGTTGAATTTGCAATATTTTTGCAATGTTGGTTTGCTTCCCTTTATCTTTATTTCTGCTTTTCTATTTTTCCAAATTGCCCATAATCTCACCAATCCAGTTTCATAGTAATAAGCTTTCTACAGTTACTTTAGATCTAACAATGTTTTTAACATCAAAGAGTTCCTGGCCTATTTCCAGATGCTAGTATTCTAATGAAATCCTATTTTTAAATAGGTAGATCGAATACAGAGTCTACCACCCAAGTGATATGTCAGGCACCGGTCTCATGCGAAAAGCTACAGCACATGTTCTATTCTTATCTCCCATGATTTATAGAACAAAAGCCATAGTATGTCCATAAAAATAAATAGATACTTGTTTTATGAAAAGTACTGGTGTCACCAATTTTTTTTAAACCAGGTGACCTTAATTCATCAGATATCTACTGGAAACCTATTGACCTTGCTTTGTTAGGCAAATGAGTGGAGCAAAGGAAACAGTGGCGCTGAACCTGCATTCAAGCTCTAGAATCTTAGTAGGGAAGACCAGCATTGACCTGGTAACAATAGCATGTGCAAAGAGCCATAGGGACTCACACAGCTCCTGTGAGTGTTTCTCTAACACTTGTATAAGACGATTCCATTCCAGTAAGTTTTATATAGATCAGCATAAAGCATTTGAAAGATCATTCAGCATCACTGAAATCAAGTTTGTTTACCGCAAATAACGGTGGAGGAGTGGTTAGGAGTGGAGCAAAGATAGTGGCATGTTCAGCCAGAGCTGTCAGAGCAGTAACTTCCTACCAAGTTCTGTAAATGTTTTGCCTGCACCAAAATGCAAAAACTTCTTCCAGACCCAAGTTTCTAGAACTCATGATTTAATAAATACTATGCAGTTTCTGTTACAAAATAGAATGGATATAATTTTTTCCCAAAGACAGCTGCCACACATGAAAAGGAACAGCAAAATGATTTTATTTCCTTCCTACCCTGAAGCCCAATGGCAAGGTTGCTGTGCGAATTTTTCCTCCCAAGAGTTTGCAGCTGTTTCTGCCCTTCCTATTGTGCTTATATTCAGCGCTCTCTGGGAACACAGCCACAGCCCCAGCTGTTGGGTGCAAAGTGAATCAGGTATTTCACAGTGGTTATTTGATTAGAAAGAATTATATTGTTTAGCTAACAATATCATGTGTGTGCAGAGAAGACATTTTTGACACATTGCTAGCATTTAAACTTGTGTGACTTATCTTGTACAGGTGCAGCTGCATCTAAATATGCTAATGTGTGTGTGTATATTTGAGTCTATATCTGCAGTACCATGCCAGTATAGATTTACTAGTTTTAATTTGTATGATCACTCTCTCGGGATGCTTTGAAGTAAAATAATGTGATAAACTACTTAAAACAGCACCAGTAAACAGGGAAAAATGTGCCTTTTTACAAATCGGGGGTAAGGGTGTAGAAAGGCACAGGACTGAGGACACTGGCACAGTGAGCATGGCTGCATGGGAGAGGGGAGAAGGGAGAGGGATTCTCATGAAGATCACAGGATAATCACAGGGATTGCCCACGTCTCCCCTTCCAAGCCCCTTCCAAGCTCTTCGTCTAATCTACATCCAAAACAATGCTTGCTTGATTTTTTTTTTTACAGCACTTGTACGAGGCCTTTAATCTCTCAACACAGAGCATTGCTATTAAATATTTGTGCATGACTGTCAGGCCAGGGAGAGTGAGTGGATCAGGGATGGGGGCGGGGTGCTCAGGCCCTTTCAAGATGTGTCTTAACTTCAGCTCCACAAACATTCACCGGACTGTTACTGTGTGCCCCATGCTGGCCTGCCAGCAGCAGCCTCTGCCTGGGCACCCTCACAGCTACCATTAGGCTCTTTGTTATCATCCTTGCTCTTCCTCCATACCCGCTTCTCTCCTCTCCCTGATCCCATTACAACTAATCACCCTTTTCCTCTTCTGCCTTTAACTACACTATTGCATCTGAGGAAACTCAAGGATCACCTAAATAGATGTCCTTTGCTAATAGTTTATGGATTATGCTAGTAATCAGGGGGCAGAAAATAATGACTCGCTTCCAGTCAAAAGAATCCATTCATTTATTGACCTCTTGATTCCACATGTGTTTGGTTCCTGTGCCACCTCTGTGGCAAGTCAGTGTCTGCTTCACTTCTCATCCAGCGCACTGCTAATGTGCTTGAGAAAGCAGCAGAAGATGGCCCAAGTGCTTGGGCCCCTGCACCTATGTGAGAGACCCAGAAGAAACTCCCAGCTCCTGACTTTGGGGTGGTCCACTCCTGGATGTTGCAGTCATTTGGGGAGTGAACCAGCAGATATAAGATCTGTCTCGGGGCCGGCGCTGTGGTGTAGCAGGTAAAGCCCCGCCTGCAGTGCCAGCATCCCATATGGGCGTCAGTTTGAGTCCTGACTGCTGCACTTCCAATCCAGCTCTCTGCTGAATCTGGGAAAGCAGTGTTTGGACCCTTGCACCTGCATGGGAGACCCAGAGGAAGCTCCTGGCTCCTGGCTTCAGATTAGTGCAGCTCTGGCCATTGTAGCCATCTTGAAAATGAACTAGTGGATGGAAGACCAACCTCTCTCTCTCTCTCTCTCTCTCTCTCCCTCTCTCCCTCTCTCCCTCTCTCCCTCTCTCCCTCTCTCCCTCTCTCCCTCTCTCCCTCTCTCCCTCCCTCCCTCTCTCCCTCACTCCCTCCCTCTCCCTTCCCTCCCCCCTTCCCCCTTCCCCCCCCCGCTCCCGCCCCCCCTCCCCCTCTTCCTTCCCCCTCCCCCGTCCCCCTCCCCCCCCCTCTTTCTCTGTGTGTCCCTCTGCCTCTCTGTAACTCTGCGTTTCAAATAAATAAATCTTTAAAAAAGGATCTCTCTCTCTGTGTCTCTATTCTTCTCCCTCTGTAACCTACCTTTCAAATAAACAAATCTTTAAAAAAAAAATACAGACCAGTAGATTTTTAAAACTTTTATCATTTCAGAAAAGATATACTCTGTGTATCGGTTGGCTAATCCTTTAGTCAGTATATTTGGAATGTTAATTTGAAGGTGTTGGTTATTTAAAGTTTTTAAAAGATTTCCTAGCTTATTTGGTGTTGAGATGTTCGAGTTTTTCTTTCAGTCTGGTATTGACTCATTTTGACTCATTTTTGACTCATTTCAAAAAGACGGAACACATGTATCGGTACTTATGTAAGGAGGAGCACTGTTTACCAGTTGGATGTATCAGGCCTCTGTAGAGTCAGGTTGGTATAGAAACACTCCTGGCCTCTTTACCAAAAAAGAGTCAAGGAAAGAAGGGAGGAAAGCTTCATTCAATTCAGCTTCTGCCCCTTGGCCTGTTGTCTTACCACTTTTCTTTTCCTTTCTTTTTTAAAATCTATTTTATGTATTTGAAAGGCAGAGAGAGAATCTTCCATCACTGGTTTACTTCTCAATTGGCCATAACAGCCAGGGCTGGGCCAGGCAGAAGCCAGGCATGAGAAACTCCATCTGAGTCTTCCGCTGCTCTCCCAGGCACATTAGCAGGGAGCTGGATGGGAATCAGGGTAGCCAGGGACTTGAACCTGCCTCTCAGGCAGTGGCTTAACC